TGAAACACATTGTCATGCATTACACATGTTACATTGGTTTATCAACATTTTGATTCTTGTATATATTGGCACTGGCACCTTCAAACTCCCAATTTTCCCTTCTAATATTCCTTCACATTTTCAATCTGCAAAGAACTTGATGAAATGCTCACAAGTTATCATACAATAGAATAATGAAAAGACTGTTTTTCTTTTTATTTGTCTTTTTTTCGCAACACAAGAACCCAGTTATATGTATATTTGTGTAATGGAGAAGGAAGGAGCTTGGTTTCTTCACCTTTGCAATTTTCCCCGATGAACCATATCAGAAATTGTGCCTTTTCTTCATCATCATCATCATCTTCTTCTTCATGTATGTTAATTGAATTCCTGCTGTTCTTGAATTGTGTTTGTGGGTGTCAAGTTGAAGAATTAGAGTAGGATTTCGTACATTTCGACTACATGCTGCTTAATTTTCTTTATTTGTGGTATCTTTTTGGCTATTTGTGTGAAATTTTGTTGAGTTACTTTTCTCAGAACAATCTCATTTTGAAATTGTTGCTGTCAAGTTATATCTATGGCGTCGATATTGATGTCAACAGTCTTGAAAAATAACCCTGGCTTCTAATAAGCTGCAAAATGTGATATTGAATTCTCACGAGGCGTTCCTACTCACACTACCATCAAATGTGCAAAAAGAAACGATTAGGGTACCTGAAAAGCTTTTGGCTTTGGGATGTTCTATTCATAGTTATTGGAGGTCTCTTGTGTGCCAGAGTCTCATTTGAATTGGACTTGGTTCTGAACAAGGATGAGGATATATTTCCTAGGTCATTACTATTGATAGAGTTGATGTACCAATTTTGTAATTTTAGAGCATGTTTGGCAAAGCTTAACATACTTTATATCCACACATTTTGTAGGACAAATATTTTATAAGCAATACCAAAGAATTTTTTATAATTTTCTTTTCTTGTTCGGAACAAGGATAAGGATATATTTCTTAGGTTATCTCTATTGATAGAGTTGATGTGCCACTTTGTAATTTTAGAGCATGTTTGGCAAAGCTTAACATACTTTATATCCACACATTTTGTAGGAAAAATATTTTATAAGCAATACCAAAGAAATTTGTAATAATTTTCTTTTGTTGTATCAATTTTCTTGCCCGGAGCAAGGATGAGGATATATTTCTTAGGTTATCTCTGTGGTAAAAACAGCCGGGAGAAGTTAATTTATGCCAATTTCTGCATGGTGGTTCACATTGCAAAGCAGTACCAAGGGATTGGGTTCAGACTTCACAGTCTATTGCAGGTGAACTGAAGCACATAATTTTATTTTTCACCATGTTTTGAAACACCCCCCTTTAGAGCACGTTTGACATGACTTTTGCTTTTGATTTTGCTTTCTATAGAAGATCAACTTCCTTATTGCTTTAATTTTTGTTTAGAAATTAATTTCTAAAGAGTTTCATATTTCGAAAATACATTTAGTGGAAGTAACATTGGACTAACTTTATTCGAAAGTCCTTTTAACTAGAAAAAACACTTTTATGAAATTAGCCAAACATGTCTAAGATTACAAGATATTCTGAAGTAACTTTTTTTTCCCAAGAAAGTATAATCAACTTTAGTACAAAAACTTGTCTTTTCAAAAGTAAAGATCATGTTCGGCTAAGTTTAAAAAGTTTACTTATAATTATATATATATATTAATGATAAAGTTGGAAATAAGTTAGTTACTTATTGAGAGCGAGGTGAGAGTTGCTCTTAGGGAATGTGAATTTTATTACCAAAAATAACGGGAAAAAAATTCAAAATGTGTTTGTTGTTTAGAAACAAATACATACTCTTGTAGGCAAAGATGCTCAAGTCTTTACTTACTTTTCATAAAAAGCACTTTTATCTTTTACTTTATTTCATTATTATCTTTTTGAGAGGGTTGGGGTTTAGCCAAATATACTCTAATTGTGTTTTTGTCCTTGAAACAATTATACAAAACAAGGGTGCTTGGCCAACTTTTATGTCCTTACAACATAAGGCATTTTATTTGTTGGTGGGTGGTTGGATGTCTATTGCAAGAAGGAAACATCTTATGCCTACTGGTGGATAAGGCAAGCCGTAAGGAAAGCCATATTTCAACATTCCAGGACGATACGTTTGCTAATAATTATGCTCTCTTATAGTATTGAAACATTCCGTCCAACGTAAAACTGTATTTTAATTCGTTTATCGTTTTGGACATTTACCATTTCTCACATTTTCCTAATGTCCTTCCCAAATAAATTTCCAATAATGTATGTATTTCTTGAAATTGTTCAGTTGCACAAATTGATATTGCAGGAGAATGTGTATGGACTATTGTCCAAAGTGAAAGAAGCAAAAAGATTATGCATTCAAAAAGGTAATCATCATCTAGTGAGAGAGGAAATAGCAGCAACTGCTAGAATCACAGTCGATAAACTTGATTAATTGCTATTTACGGCAAGAATGCCTCTCTCGATGCAACAACCTGTATGGATGGACCAAGATACCACTTTTTAGGTACACACTTCCTATTCATTTTGTGTTTCCAATTGGTAAAGCCTCAAAATCATAGTATCAGTGCGACAGAGTCAAAACACGAATTTTTCGGTAGTGGATTAAGATCTTAATTCCAATCACGATAACAATATTAAGCAAAGCGAAATTATACACACATATGCACTCACAGATTTATAGTGAATCACACTCGATGTGAGAGTTATGTCCACTCGATGTTGCACGCTTTGTTGGAGGAAAGATGGGTTTACTAACTTGGATTAGCTAAGACTTTTAAGAGGACAACACTAATAGGAAGAAGGAAGTGAAAAAAGTAAACTTGTATTTCTTAAATTCAAGACTTTACACACTTTTTGGCTTGTTACAAAATGGAGGGCACTACCCCTTTATATAGTGTTTACAAGAAGATTCTAGTCCACACATTTTCTAGAGACACCTAGACCACATATCAAGATATTTTCCTAGAATTCTCTAGATATTCTTTATAAAACTACATATCTTACTTAGATATTTATATAGATTTTTCTAGTAGATATTTATATAGATTTTTCTAGATAATGCTTCTAGAAATGTTATGCATGTTGGGCCTTTTAATTGATTTGGGCTCATACTATTTAGTCCAAAAATCAAGTTTACTACTCAACATTCCCCCTTAAACTTGATTTTGCTACTCCAAGTAGAGTTCTTAACTTGCGGAACACATCATGTTTGAGTGGCTTAGTGAGAATGTCGGCGATTTGCTCTTGGGAGGTTACATATTTCAGCTGCACTTCTTTCTTTGCAATGCTTTCTCTTATGAAGTGATATCTTGTATCAATGTGCTTGCTTCTATCATGGAATACTGGGTTCTTTGCCAATGCCAATGCTGATTTGTTATCAACACGGATTTCGATTGGCTCTTCTTGTGATACTCCAAGCGTCTTCAACAAGTTTCTAAGCCAAATCGCATGGCAGACACTTGATGTAGCTGCAAAATATTCAGCTTCACATGTAGATAGTGCTACGATCGATTGCTTATTTGAGCTCCAAGTGAAAGCTGTGTCGCCCAAGTAAAACACGTACCCAGTCGTACTCTTTCTATCATCACTATCTCCGCCCCAATCGCTGTCACTATATCCAACAAGTTTGAACTCATTAGATGATGAATAGACTAAGCCATAATCAAGCGTACCTTTGATGTAGCGAAGAATTCTCTTTGCAGTTTTCATATGGGTCATGGTAGGTGTCACCATATAGCGACTAATGAGCCCAACTCCAAAAAGGATATCTGGTCTTGTGCACGTCAAATATCTTAGACTTCTAACAAGACTCTTAAAAAGTGTTGGATTTACTTTTTCACCTTCATCATTCTTCGACAACTTGATTCCACATTCGACAGGGGTGCATACGGGCTTACAGTCCTTCATATTGAATTTCTTTAGAATTTCTTTCGCATATCCTTCTTGTGAGATGAAAATGCAGTCCTCCATTTGCTTTACCTCTATCCCAAGATAGTAGGCCATGTGGCCGATATCCGTCATCTCAAATTCTTGAGCCATGACCTTCTTAAATTCAGTGATCATACTTTGATTATTTCCTGTAAATATAAGATCATCTACATACAAACAAACAAGCAAAATATCTCCCTTCTCATTTACCTTTGTATAAAGGGCATACTCGTGAGGGCATTTTGTGAAGTTATTTTCTAGAAAATACTTGTCAATTCTACTATTCCATGCCCTTGGAGCCTGTTCAACCCATATAAAGCCTTTTTTAGTTTCAAGACTTTACCTTCATGTCCTTTTACTTTATAACCCATTGGTTGCTCCACATAGATTTCTTCTTCGAGATAGCCATTTAGAAAAGCTGATTTCACGTCCATTTGGAATATCTTCCACTTATTTTGCGCTGCAAGAGAGATAATTAATCTTATGGTTTCTAAACGAGCAACAGGAGCAAATACCTCTTCATAATCAATTCCCGACCGTTGGTTGTAACCTTTGGCAACCAATCTTGCTTTGTGTCTTTCTACGTCTCCTTTAGCGTTCTTCTTTGCCTTGTACACCCACTTAACTCCAATTGCTCTTTTTTCCTTTGGGAAGAGTTGTCAGCTCCCACGTGTCATTTTTCTCTATAGCTTTAATCTCTTCATCCATAGCATCTCTCCATCTTTTATTTTGCACCGCTTCTTCATACCCTATTGGTTCACAATCGACAAAAAGACAAAAAAGTGTGAGATCATTTTGATTTTCGGTTACCTCATATAGCTCTTGTAGGCTCCTCATCCGTGGTGTCCTTTCGCTTGAACTTTCTCCTTGTGAAGATGATGGAGAAGCATTTCCATGAGTAGGTGATAGAGGTGGACTGATAATCTCTTGATGCTCTCCATTCTTTTGTTCTTTTTCATAAAAGAATGGTAAGAAGTCATAGTCTTCTTCTTGGACACCCCAATCCCAAGCTCCTTCTTCATCAAACTCGACATCTCTACTTATGGTGATCTTCTCATTGCTTACTGATTCATCAAGCTCCACAAACATGTTTTTTCTTCCACACATATGATTGCTTGCTCCTGTATCCAAATACCAAGTATTCTTTTCTCTGCTCTCTTCACCTTTGTAAGCCAATAGTAGCGCAGGATCTACTTCACTTTCCTGACAAGCGTAGTTGGCTTTCTCCTCAACTTGGTTAGTAATTTTTCTACATTCTGAAGCATAATGACCAAGTTTTTGACAATTGTAACATTTAATTTGAGATTTGTCATACCTTGGTCCTTCAATTTTTCTCGTACCTTTTCCTCTTCCGCGACCTCTAGTAGAAAATGAACTTTGTCTTCTTTCCTCCTTGTAGAATGCAATTCTTCCTCGATCTTGGTCTCGTCCTCTTCCTCTTTGTCTTCTTCTACTATTGAACCTTCCTTCACCCTCGTTCAAAGTGAGCTTTATTTGAAGAGCTTGCTCTAATGGCTCTTCTTTCACTTTCTTCCTTAGTCTTTCCTCATGGGCTTGTAAAGATCCCATGAGTTGATCGACATTCATACTATCTAGATCTTTAGATTCATCAATGGCTACAACTATGTAGTCAAATTTAGAATCTAAAGACCTAAGTATCTTCTCAATTACTCGAGTGTCGTTCAACTTTTCTCCATTCCTTTTTAATTGATTCACAATAGCTAATACTCTAGAGAAGTAATCAGAAATTGATTCCGATTCTTTCATATGTAAAGCTTCAAACTCACCTCGAAGTGTTTGAAGTCGAACATTTTTCACCTTCTCAACTCCTTTGTGGGAGTTTTGCAAGATCTCCCATGCTTCCTTACTTGTAGTAGCACAAGCTACTTTTTCGAACATGCCTTCATCTAAGGCTTGATAGATGAGGGTGAGCGCCTTCTTGTCCTTCTTCCTTGCATCCTTCAAACTATCCCTTTGTGCTTGGGATAGAGCAACCTCGTCTTGTGGCTCCATGTAGCCTTTCTCTACGATCTCCCATGCATCTTGCGACCCGAGCAATGCTTTCATCCTTATACTCCAATTGTCGTAGTTATCCTTGTTGAGTTGGGGGACTTGAAAAGGAATCATCCCACTTGCCATTTTTTCACAAGAACCTTGGGGCTCTGATACTAGTTTGTTGGAGGAAAGATGGGTTTACTAATTTGGATTAGCTAAGGCTTTTAAGAGGACAACACTAATAGGAAGAAGGAAGTGAAAAAAGGAAACTTGTATTTCTTAAATTCAAGACTTTACACACTTTTTGGCTTGTTACAAAATGGAGGGCACTACCTCTTTATATAGTGTTTACAAGAAGATTCTAGGCTTCTTAACCATTTGAAAAAGTGTGTGAAATTGAGGGCCTATCATTTTCATATATTATGTTGTGGGTTCTTTTTGACACATCAATTGGTGTATTTCTTCTATTGTCTGACCTAACAATATGGTAGAATGGCATTGACTATTTATTATTATACCCAATTCGTTGTAATGAAAATATTTTAAATTATTAGCTATATTGCATTACCTACTACTAATGTGAATACCCAGAATTTGTGATTCAAAATTTAATCTAGTTCATGGTTGCTTGTATATAAGGTTCGTGCAGTATTCATGGCATGTACATTTTATTCCTAATGCAATGGGCCTTGCAAGGCTGGTTAAGGAACGCTAATCACAGCTCTTAACTCGACAAATACTAATAGGTTCTTGTCAAGTGTTGTGTCCTGGAACATTATGTTTTTCTTGTACTTCTTGATGCTATGGACGCACGTATTATCAACAACAAAGCCAGCCTTGTTCTGAATTAACTTGAAATCGAATATATAAATACTTTTATCACTCCGTTTGATGAACTGCTGCATCCATTTAGTTGCAATTATCCACATTATTCCATTTCATATTGTTATCTCTTTTATATGCCATTGCCTTCCTCCAATGCTCCGTCATTAGTATTTCACGTTGTAGGTTCCACCATCTTGTTCTATGAACTCGTACATCTTTGGCATTTTCCCCATTTCTTATAACTGTACCAAGACCACAAATGGGATACTTAAGACTCGCAAATGCCTCTTGCGATTATGTCAAACTATTATCTTACTGTTTAGATTTTCCTTTTTCATTGCATATTCATCTATATCTCTATCCGATCATTAGTATTTCACGTTGTAGGTTCCACCATCTTGTTCTATGCACTCGTACGTCTTAGGCATTTTTCCCATTTCTTATAACTGCACCAAGGATCACAGATGGGATAGTTAGACTCTCAAATATCTCTTGCAATTATGTCAAACTATTTTCTTATTGTTTTGATTTTACTTCTTCATTGCATATTTGTCTCATATCTCTTATATGATCAGGTTGTTGGAACAATGGGATATGCAGCTCCTGAGTATGTTCAAACTGGTCGTCTCACATCCAAGAGTGATGTGTGGAGCTATGGTGTCTTTCTTTTCGAGCTAATTACAGGTAGGCGCCCCTTGGATCGAAATCGCCCCAGAAAGGAGCAAAAACTCTTAGAATGGATAAGACCATACTTATCAGATGCTAAGAAGTTTCAGCAAATATTAGACCCAAGACTTGACTGGAAGCATTTTCACAATTCAGCCCAGAAGCTGTCGATTGTAGCCAACCGCTGCTTGGCCAGACATCGAAAAGCACGCCCAAATATGAGCGAAGTTTTGGAAATGGTGAATAAAGTAGTGGAGGCATCGACTGGGGTAGGCAATCCACAGCCTCCTTTGAAACGTAGAGAGCGAAGGCCAACTCCTGGGGAAACTAAAGCTCAAGATAAAAGGAGACTCATTCATAAGAAAATTGGCGCCAGAGGTTGACTCATTTCGATGTGCTCATGAAACCCTGTAAAGACCTGATTCTGAAGGATCAAGAGTGTAAATACCGAATTATTTTTGGTGTATGCACAAAAAATGCTGTTGTACAAGTTGATGACATTTTTTACATCAAACAGAGGGTAATGAGCGGTTAACGTTAGCTTTGATCTTCTGCCAAAATTATTACGGAGTTTTCTTCTTGGGCTTTACAGCAAACTCGAGAAACGGAGAAATGTAGACTATTGCTGCAGAAGCTCTGTGTGAGAAGTGATGTTAATTAGCTTGTAGTTTTTGATGATAATCACAGAGTCAAGAATTGTGTTTTATCTTTTTTTCTGCAGATTTTACAAAACTTGAATAGATAGAAACTACATAACAGTGTTATATAGATATATGATTTAATATTTAAGTAGGGAATGTATGAGTTTATTTATTGTGCCAGTTATTGACTTTTAATAAAGATCTAGACCTCTTCAATATCAAGTATCATGCCACTATCAACATTAGAAAACAAGCTAAAACAAGGATATTTTGGAAACTACTGTTTTCTTGTTTTTTCTTATATTATTTTATAAAATGAGGAAATTTGTTTAATTTATTCTTGGACCACAATGCCTACATTTTAATTTTTAAATTTAGGTTGTGCTTGGTGTACATAAAAAATGTATGTTGAACGTGTATTGAGCTCCAAAGCTTGCCTAGGCTGAATTTCTACCAACTTCTAACATCACAACCCTACAATGACGATCCAAGACAATAATCAAGCTTCCACTTCCTATTGTCAATAAGATAGTTCACTTAGAAGACCACAAAGGTGTAAAATATAATATCACCACCAAGGTAGAAATCACAAGGAGGCAAAAAGAGTAGAAGAAATCAAGTAGAGACCAACTGAATAGAGAGGCATGAAAGACGTCTCTCACTTAGAGAGAAAGAGGCCCATTTATCTAGTAACAATTGGCCCAAATATGGTAAGTGTAGGTAGGTTAACAAATGGGTCAAAGTAGAGGTCTAATAGATAGGTAAATTGGTTCACAGGTAATCTCTCTCAATTATGACCATTCAAGGAAGCGGATTAGGTCACAAGAAACACTAAAATATTTAGGTTGCTTCAAGTGACTCAATTAATCTTTGGGTCGTATCGTCTTGATTGTGGTGTTAAATTCTCGTTCAGTCATTTGATTAAGTCGACTAAAAAATAAAATCAAGTAACATCATAGTTCGAGAAAGATCGTTTGACAACAAATTGCCTAACAATGTATATAAGAGTGTCCACACCTCTCACATGAGGTGGGACCTGCTAGGGCACTCCATTTGAGGGGTGTGTATTCTAAGATTTATCCTTTAAATTTTTCATTCTAAAGTTGGGCCCATAACCTGCCCATCTGTCTTTTCTTGAATTCGACATGATTCTTCTAGACTCGAAATGATTCAAGTTGAGTAATATATTATTTAAAGAAATTTCTACATATTAAATATGCAATAATGAAGTAAGAGAGACTATTTCTAGTGTGTGTCATCACAAAGATAAGAATATCTCTCAATTACATTTTTCTTCCTCATAACACTTAAAGTTAGAAGTAGGCAAGGATGTCAATAGAGCAGGACGATTCTCCATGTTCTTGTCCCCATTGCGCTTGAGATTTTGGAAAGGATGGATATTATTAAAATACCATAAAAGTACGTGCTAAAAGTAGAAGTCTACAAAAATAGTAAACTAAGTTGCTCCTTTCCATTGGCTTCAACTAATGTTTAAGGGTTTAAGGGGGTGCCTTTAACCGAGATTTTGATGTAATTTAAAAGATCATAAATTTTAATGAATTTTGTGAATTCGAATAAATTTTTAGAAAATTCATAAGAATCTCATTGAAAATGATAAAATTAAAAGAGTCTGTTATATCATATATGAATATTTAAGTTTTAAATTCATCCAAGTATTTTAAAATCCATTCCACAATTTATTGAAAATTCCTAAATTTTAAAGATTTTTATTGAAATTCATTAAAATCTCAATTGAGGGCACCTCCCATAAATTATTGAAGTAATTACACCAGTTACTTGAGTTTAGTCCCAATTTCCAAATTTACCACCCATCATTTTTTATTCCCAAAATACTAACTTGAATACGTAAAATAAAAAAGTCACAAATCATCTTAGCCCCAACATTTTTGCCCTCAAACACGGAGTAACCTTTAGGCTTTAAGCATATACCTTCTCTAGAAATCGTCCCATGTCACAAATTCTGATAATACTTTGCTTGAATTTGTTGGTAATTTTTATTTACTTGCACATTTAAGATTTATCACATAGGGTGAGACAAAGAGGATTAAACTCAACATACGGCGGAGAAACCATGGCAGCGGTGGTGGAAACCATGAAACATTCGATGGCAGAGGCAGCAGTAGTTGAGTAGAACATGTATCAGATGACAAGATCTTGGTCTCCCTGTTCGAGTTGATGATGGCGGTTTAACCAAATCTAAATTCGTTGTTTCTGATAAATTTATTAACCAATGATTTTCTTCAACTGTAACTTCTGTTGAAAACAGAAAGATTGATTTAAAGGTATATAATGGGTTTGCTTCTTTTTCTTTTTTCCATTGATCTAATGCTGAAAATAGTAGGAACAAAGGTGTTTTAGATGGTTGGGAAATGTGTTCGTTTACTGACTATAATTTGGTTCATTGGGATTATGTGCTGTTATTGTAACATCAAATTAGATTATTTATTCACAGATTTGAAACCAATAATTTATTTTAGTTAATTTTTTCAGTCCATTTCCTATATGTTGAAATTTGGCCAAAGCAAATGACTTCCATATTGTTTTAGAATGAGGACAATAAGTACCATGAGAATGCTCTCATGTTGTGGCCAGATCTTAAATTACAGTCTAAAACTGGTGTATTTATGGAGGCCGCACGGCCTTTGGCCATTCTCTTGTAGCACTTGGAAACATAACAAAATAAGAAATAAATGTCTATTCTGCAAATGATTTCATTCATCCAAAGACATTCTTATTGTATTTGAAACATGTTGCATATTTGCTATCAACTTATGCTTTGTTGAAATGAAAATTCGGTCACGAATATGTTTTAGCTAATGTTTTCCTATAAATTAGTTATTTAACCTATTTTTTCGTTAAATTTAAATGACATTGTAGCATATATACACCACCTAACATAGCACCCTAATACTATATAAATTATATAATAGTCAATAAATTGTGAAAAATCATCAATAGCAATGTCACACATTATGTAACATTTATAGCAACAAATATTTTAATAGATAATGCATCATATTTAACACATGAATGCAACTACAGATTTTGAATTATCATATACAGATATACTTCTCTTCTTATTTTTTTTTAATTTTTTCCCCTTATATCACATAGTCCATTATATTACATTTTTAACAAAAAAAAAGTTTCATAAGAAATGTGTTACATGTAATCGTAATGGCAATCGCACATGGATAAAAGAGACTGCTCAAACTTTGTAACACATTATACATTATTTACAACAGCCCAACATATTATAATAAATCATGTGAAATTCCAAAATACCAAGATAAATATATCTTGGTATACACGAAATTTTCATATGTCATAGTTCATGTTATATTGCTATATTTAGAGTAATAGATTGAAGGTAACCAATAGTTTATATTTAGACTTTTTAACTGTATTACAAATAATACATATAAATGTATCAGCCCATACGACATGTAACACATGTTTGAAACTATATTTCAAATTGCACAAAGAACGTTTTTATACAATTCCTCAAATACCTGATTGTACAATGTATTAACATGCAATGTATGAAAAGTTCGAGTCAATTGTAATCAAATAATGGAATGTACCAAAAATAAAAAAATAAAAAAAATCATATTTTTCGAAATAATACCTCCAAATTATTAAAAAAAAAAAAAAGGAGATATGACACTAATAAGGTCATATCAAATCAAGTAAAAAAAAGGCCAAAAAAAAAAAAAAAGTATAGACGGTAATGTATTATGATTCCATGAATCATGGAGGTAATTAGTGTCAATTAAATATGATCTTTCTTTTTTTTGAAAGTATTAAATATGATATTTAGTTGATGACTTTTGAGGAATTGTAATAAATTGTTTTGTATTTTAATTAGAGTTAATTACCAAAAATAGTGCCATTACGTTAAAGTAGTAGTTTTGAGATATTTAATTACAATAGGAAGTAATTTGAGAATCAGAAAGATGTAATAGTAATTCTGGAATTTTATTTTGTCATTGGGTTATATACCAAAATTTCCCTAAATTATTTCCGTTTCTCAATCGAATTGGGTTTAATATGGATTGGGCTAAAGAAATAGGAGAATGAAAACTTAATTATTGAAAATCCCAAGGGCATAATAGCCAATCAAGAATACCAACCTGGAAACAAGCCAAACCTCGTCCATTGATTATGGGTTTATCGCATTATTCTAAATGTATTCGCATCTACTCATATATGCTCGATGCATTTATGAAACGTCTCACATATGAAGTATGCGCAAGTTAATGAGGTTAACCCATTTCGTTGACTGCAAATGCATGCTTAAAAAATTGTGTTAAAATTAGCCCAACAAAGTCTAACCGATTTTTATAATTTAAAAAAAGTAAATTGAGCACCAAAAAATCAAATTAACCCAAATAACCTAAGCCCATGGATTATATATAGCAATTTGTATGGTTTTGATATTAAAAAAAAAAAAAAAATTAAAAATCAAAGTAAGTTTTTCGTTGAGTTGCAAACTATATACGCTGAGCTCAAGCTTCTTCCTTCCTCGGTCTTTCTCTAGTCTTATTAGCAAATGATGCTAAAACTCTTGAATTGTTGATCGTTGTGATGAGGAGGAGAAGGTTAATAATGATCCTACAATCTATAAGAGGTAATAGAAATTTTTGAGTTGTAATAAGGGAGCCGATAGAGATGATTTTACATCGGATCACAAGGAAGATGACTTGGATGAAGAAGTGTTTGAATTGGACCCTGATAAAGAGTTAAACAATATTTAGAATTTTTTAAAGCCATGTTCGTGTTTAATTTAATTGTAGGAATTGATTGCCAAGTAATTTAGTATTTATAAATTATATTTTTGTTAAAAATTTGAAGAATATTTATAAATTTCAAGTAATTGTAGTATTTATGATTTTCAACAATATTTATTTATTTATATTGAAAATTTGAAGAATATGTATAAAGTTTAAAGAATCCGTTATTTTATTTATGTATTAGCTTAAAATATTTAAAATAATAATAAAAATTGAAAAAAGCATAGTTATGCATATGCTTCGCATAGGTATGCATATTCTAATGCTTGATGCTCGATTGAAACAC